GAAGCCAAGAAAATCACTGATAGGTTTTTCGTGAGAAAGCCAGCTCGTTACTCGAGCAAGATGCATTCGACTGGGTTCCATGGCGTGTTTCTGTCGAGCATTTTAGTGGCTTTCTTATTGTATTGCGTTTCGGCTGTCGATGAAGCTTACCAGTGCCCGTATAATATTCATGTACAGAAGGGACAGATTATAAAAGCAAAACAGTCTGTGGACAATGGAGCAAGATTTCTGAAACACACATCCGTTTATGATGCTCGGGAATGTCACCAGCTGTGCTGTGAGAGAAAATACTGCGACTTAGCACAGATGCAGTACAAGAATTCTTCAAATGAATTCTACATCATGCAAGTTGAGAAAATTTGTTTCATGTTTCACTGCGGTGTTCCTAGTCGGTGTTTCTTCGAAGAACACAATCATTACGCTACAATAACTTATGAAAGACCTGATGAGGAACTATCTGGATTAGACAGCGATGATGATAATGAGTACAAAAAGCCTTCAGTGAAAGTGAACAAACCATCTTGGAAATCACAACAACCACCCCCACATAAAGGTAATCTTGATTTTAGGCAGTTAACCATCAAAATAATGGTACAACTCATTCCCTTTGGTTTAAAACTTGAAACTATAAAGGTTTCCACAAACAGGGGGATTTGAACAAGGGTGTGTAGAAGTTTGCAAAACTTGATTATCACTCATTACCGTGATAAAAACACAGTGCAAGCGATCGTTTTTGTAGAAGCATTATTTTTGTACATAATTTGGTCCCCTAAATCTGCAATGAATTTGTTTAGTAAGGGAAATTTTGACCAAATTTTAGCTTCCTTCTCCCCATAATCTTACTTCCTTCTTCCAAAGATCAATTATCAGATTTCCCAAAGTGGGATCATGTTTCTCTTCTGGCTTATTATTTTAAAAGAGGCTTCGAGAAATAATGTTCCGGCCATATTTTTAAGCAAGCCCAAGTTACTGTGGTGAACTATTTGTTTGTTTTAATTTCTTTCATAAAAGGAACCTACTTAAACTTGTCACGATTTTCTGTTTTGTGCGAGAGCATTCTTATTTATTCTGACATTACCCCCTTATTTTAGTTCTCCAAAATTAATTTCAAAGCCACTGCACTATAAAATACAATTGAAAATTTTTAAAATTGATTTTTTAGCAAAAGTAACCAGAAACTGTACTCCTGGTACAAGAGTGGGTCTGGTCTGTGGAAGGCTGGACCCACAAGTTATTTTTTAGCACTGATATGATAATAAGTGAGTTAAGAAAAAAAGGAAAATAAATTTTGCACCAAATATAACATTGATGCACAAAGTATTACAAATGCAGTTTGCAAGAAAAGGTAAAATCAGAGAAAAACAGAGCAAGGCTAGAAAGGTTCCTTCAATCTAATAATTTGCATTGTCATCTTATGGTGATGAGTGAAATCAGGAAATAATATCACATGTTTTGCTTGAATTCTAAAAATATCCGGAGCTATTAAGCAACTAGCCTGAGAAAGAAGTCAACGTTACGCTATGCCATCACTGGTTTCCCCGTAAAATAATGTCAGAGAAATGAGTGCAGAAATTCCTGATGATGTGTCACTACCCAGATCTTGGTAGTGCTTTGATTAATTAAAGCAAATTTCCCACACAGCACAACCAATCAGAAGCATTACCCTGATCTGGGTAGTGATGAGTCAGCAGTATGAAATTTCTGCAAACCTTTGTCAGATGTTACTCAGTTTAAAGGGAAACAAGCGGTGGTGTCATGAAATGTAGGCTATTAAGCTTCAGAAGTATTAAAATTTTGGACGAAATGCCTGGTTGTAAAGTTCTTAAATAAACGTCTTAAATGTTTCTTTGTGATATGACAAACTTACTGTTTAAAGGCAAGATATGTGGCTGTCAAGAAAAAGGCCTAAACAACTTTTCTTTCAGCCAGCCCAAAGTGCAAATTAAAAAAAAAAAGCCAGCTCCACAAGACCAAGTTTAAATTAAATGCCAGGGCATTTATTGAGAAGATATATGACATTTATTTCTTGGATCCTGTTAGCATAGCTCCATGGTGATTTGAAAATGATATAATGTTGTAGACATCATTCTTAGACAGTTTATTTTTATTACTTAACTCAATAGATAAAAGTGACGAGGAGGAGGATTTAGGATCTGAACCTTACAAAGCTCCCAAAAAGAATCAACAGCCAGTGAAAGACTACCAAGAAAGTGAAGAACACAAAGATCTACATAGCTCATGGAACACAAAATCAGAAAGCAAAAATGTGGATGATCATGCCAGTCAGAAATTTAAGGAGTTTGAAAAATCAAGAGATCATGTCAAGAAGACAGAAGGTCCTGTCTATCAAGAGGTTGTGAAAAACCTTGAAACACCCACAGAACAAGTGAGGGTTAAAACAAGAAAACCTGTAGTGGTGGAAGTGATGAAAGTCACTGAAAAATCAAAAGTACAACCACCAACAGAAAAAGATGCAGACGCTGAACTGGAGATGAAACTTGAAGAACTCACCCCGACAGAGCAACAGCCAGAACTGAAGACCAATCCCCCAGCAACCTTTCATCACTGGAGAGAATTTGTTGACAACAATCCCAACTTTCCTTACACAATTCCAGTGAATGAGGAGTCAACACCAAAACGTACGCGTATCACAACCCAGTATCCTACCACAGAAAGAATAACAACTACAAAGACAACTGTGAAAACAGAGCCACGCAAGACAACTGTAAAGAGCAAGATATCAAAACCAAAGCCCCATAAAGGTGGCAACACCCATAGTAAGTGCAGTTTCCCTATTTTATGTGGTATTTAAGTATAGGTCCTTATTTTACAACAGTAACCTGTTACTGCAATTCTACTGACAAACCTGAGGCCTACAATGCACTCATTTTACCCCCCCCCCCTCCCCCTCTCCACCAGTTCTCTGTTCTACAGGTCTTTAAAGCTAATTAAAACATTCACCCCTGAGCTGCCCGTAACCACCCGTGAAGACACGTCCCTTCTACTACTTGTGATGTCATCAGTTTTAATGGTCAAGGACAAATTTGTCTGCTAACTTGGGCAGAATGATGAGGTCTTTCAAACCGTAACAGAATGAGCTCAATTCCTTCAGGGACACTGGACAAAAAGGCAAAAAACCTTGTAACGTTGGCCTGAAAATTTCCATGAAAGTGTTGTTTTACAACCGGCCTACCTTTCCTTTCATCTAATTCTAAGATCCTAAAAGCTTTCTTGAAACCTTTCCCCACCAAAATGAGGCCTACTAAATGCCCAGCAAAAGATTAAAAAGAAAATGAGGCAAGAAAAGTAAAAGTCAAGACTGCTGTGTCACTTTTAAACCCAAAAACTATTCTCATAGTTTTGCTTTCTGCTCATGCCCGAACTTTGTAAGCCAATATTTTGCATCTGGATCAGAAGGCCTCCGCTAGCTTCAAAACGCATTTTTTGGCAAAGTTCCAGGGGCGAATGGGTGAAAGCTACCTGTAAAGGAAAGAAGTGGAAACAAGGATTTGAGGTCACACCTAGTTCAAGGAATGGAACTCAGAACCTCCCTCAGAGAAGGCCTTACACTGACTGACTGTGCTTATCCTTGTTTTGGTTAATTATGATGCATAATAAAATTTTTGATAATATCCTTTACAACTTATAACTTTTTTGCAGCTACTTTATTTAATGACAAGAGATTTATTAAGACGTATGACTTTAAGTTGAAATCACAACTCTCTCTTTCAGTCTTCCAGTAATGTCCAGAGGTAGATCACATCTCTGGTGTCTAGGTCCCCAGGGATTTGAAAACAGCTGTGTTGGTCCTTTCACTTCCCCTTTAACCTGACCACTAGAAACAGTGGACGGCACAATGCTAGCAGCTTGATTGTATCAAATGGCCTGGCACTTTAATAGAAAATGAATAGAAGTTAATCTCTTTCTCTTTTTTATTCAGAAGCTGTTGTTCCCACAAACCCTCATCCAAGACTTGAAGTACCATTACAGAACAAGAATGTTTCAGATGTTGTTGTCATAGAAACACAACATCTAAAGATTATCGAGAACAAGGCTGTGCTTCCACTTGCTATTTTCCTCATATTAGCCATTCTGCTTCTCTTCGCTGTTGCTCTGAGACTCAGAATTGTAAAGAGCAAATTGAAGAGACGAGCATTTGCTACTGATGATGCAGATTATCTAATCAATGGAATGTACTTGTAATTAATAATACTAGTATTATATTGTTAATTTATGAAGTGATATTTCTTAATGGGACAGTACAGCTTTGAAACTCTCTCCAGATAGACCTAAAGACAATTTGCTATTGTGTTAAGTCATCTCAAATTCTTCTTAGAAAGACCATGTAATTTGCAATCTCATCTCAGGCCAGAATTGATAATCATTTAACAGATTTACAAGGTTTTTGCTCCTCTGTCATTTTGAAAACACCTTATTATGAAGTGCTAATAATATTCCAGGTGTATTGCAGCATTGTACATTTCTCAGTTCTGTTCTATGCCTGCTTAAAGGGAGGGAATGTCACAAGACTAAATGGGATGCTTGGAATAGTCATGAGAGCATCAAGAACGCATATTTCAGGGTGCCTGACTTAAGTGCCTCTGGTAGTATCAGCCCATCAATAAGTCACCCTTATCATACTTTCCTGACTGACAATAAAATTGTTAGCTTTATCAAGTGATTTAAGGGGCAAGGGTTGTTTTAAATCTTTGGCAAACTATTTGTCAAGAAACTTGTCATGAATTGTGCATCATGATATAAAATAAAACTGTTTTAGTATACTTTATAGTAAGAAAACAAATAATGCAATTTAGGTTGTAAGTAGGAAATGCTTGGTGAAAAGATGATAATTTAAAGGGTAAATGTAATGTTAGTTTTGTTGTACATGTTTTTTTGTAGTGAGAGCTTAGTGTCACTGTGGTGTTTCATATGTAGTATGCAGTGAGCTGTTAAACCACCATAGAACTCTTAGAGAATGAAAAAATTTAAAAAACAAGGGTAGAATTACAGTTTTTGGTTGGCTGTGCTGGTCATCAGAAATGTACAGTAGAGTCTTGTTTTAAAGCTTTGATAATAAGCAGAGTAGCACCAAAGGGCAGTAATAGCCTTAGTTCAGTTTAAAGTCTCCACAACAGCCACCTTGGGGACAGAAGAAAGTAGCCGTAGTACAGAGGTTTAACCCTTCAAGCCCCAGTATCCACATACAAATTCTCCAAACTGATCTCCATACATTTCCTTAAAGAATGAGTTGAGAGAATTTGATAAAAGATCAAGGCATTTTTACTTGGGTGATCATTTTATTAATAATTCTCATAACTTATCTGTTGACAATGTATGGACATTGTTAGGAGAATATTGATCTTGGTCACTATTGGGATTTAAAGGGTTAAACAAATGAATGTATGGACTGTCCACAAAAAAGTGGCGGTTATGGAGAGGTGGTCGTTATTGGAGGTTCGACTGTATGTGCTAGTCTGTACTGAGCAAGAAATAAAAATAAATAGCTATTAGGTAGTGCATTTTCCCGATTTTATGTGGTAATTACGTATTAGTTCTTTATTTACAACATGTACCCTTTACTTCCATTCCACTTACAATCCCTAGGCCTTCAATTCACCTCTTTTTCCCCCCCCCCCTCCCCCTCTCCACCAGTTCTCTGTTCTACAGGTCTTTAAAGCTAATTCAAACATTCACCCCTGAGCTGCCCGTAACCACCCGTGAAGACACGTCCCTTCTACTACTTGTGATGTCATCAGTTTTAAGGGTCAAGGACAAATTTGTCTGCTAACTTGGGCAGAATGATGAGGTCTTTCAAACCGTAACAGAATGAGCTCAATTCCTTCAGGGACACTGGACAAAAAGGCAAAAAACCTTGTAACGTTGGCCTGAAAATTTCCATGAAAGTGTTGTTTTACAACCGGCCTACCTTTCCTTTCATCTAATTCTAAGATCCTAAAAGCTTTCTTGAAACCTTTCCCCACCAAAATGAGGCCTACTAAATGCCCAGCAAAAGATTAAAAAGAAAATGAGGCAAGAAAAGTAAAAGTCAAGACTGCTGTGTCACTTTTAAACCCAAAAACTATTCTCATAGTTTTGCTTTCTGCTCATGCCCGAACTTTGTAAGCCAATATTTTGCATCTGGATCAGAAGGCCTCCGCTAGCTTCAAAACGCATTTTTTGGCAAAGTTCCAGGGGCGAATGGGTGAAAGCTACCTGTAAAGGAAAGAAGTGGAAACAAGGATTTGAGGTCACACCTAGTTCAAGGAATGGAACTCAGAACCTCCCTCAGAGAAGGCCTTACACTGACTGACTGTGCTTATCCTTGTTTTGGTTAATTATGATGCATAATAAAATTTTTGATAATATCCTTTACAACTTATAACTTTTTTGCAGCTACTTTATTTAATGACAAGAGATTTATTAAGACGTATGACTTTAAGTTGAAATCACAACTCTCTCTTTCAGTCTTCCAGTAATGTCCAGAGGTAGATCACATCTCTGGTGTCTAGGTCCCCAGGGATTTGAAAACAGCTGTGTTGGTCCTTTCACTTCCCCTTTAACCTGACCACTAGAAACAGTGGACGGCACAATGCTAGCAGCTTGATTGTATCAAATGGCCTGGCACTTTAATAGAAAATGAATAGAAGTTAATCTCTTTCTCTTTTTTATTCAGAAGCTGTTGTTCCCACAAACCCTCATCCAAGACTTGAAGTACCATTACAGAACAAGAATGTTTCAGATGTTGTTGTCATAGAAACACAACATCTAAAGATTATCGAGAACAAGGCTGTGCTTCCACTTGCTATTTTCCTCATATTAGCCATTCTGCTTCTCTTCGCTGTTGCTCTGAGACTCAGAATTGTAAAGAGCAAATTGAAGAGACGAGCATTTGCTACTGATGATGCAGATTATCTAATCAATGGAATGTACTTGTAATTAATAATACTAGTATTATATTGTTAATTTATGAAGTGATATTTCTTAATGGGACAGTACAGCTTTGAAACTCTCTCCAGATAGACCTAAAGACAATTTGCTATTGTGTTAAGTCATCTCAAATTCTTCTTAGAAAGACCATGTAATTTGCAATCTCATCTCAGGCCAGAATTGATAATCATTTAACAGATTTACAAGGTTTTTGCTCCTCTGTCATTTTGAAAACACCTTATTATGAAGTGCTAATAATATTCCAGGTGTATTGCAGCATTGTACATTTCTCAGTTCTGTTCTATGCCTGCTTAAAGGGAGGGAATGTCACAAGACTAAATGGGATGCTTGGAATAGTCATGAGAGCATCAAGAACGCATATTTCAGGGTGCCTGACTTAAGTGCCTCTGGTAGTATCAGCCCATCAATAAGTCACCCTTATCATACTTTCCTGACTGACAATAAAATTGTTAGCTTTATCAAGTGATTTAAGGGGCAAGGGTTGTTTTAAATCTTTGGCAAACTATTTGTCAAGAAACTTGTCATGAATTGTGCATCATGATATAAAATAAAACTGTTTTAGTATACTTTATAGTAAGAAAACAAATAATGCAATTTAGGTTGTAAGTAGGAAATGCTTGGTGAAAAGATGATAATTTAAAGGGTAAATGTAATGTTAGTTTTGTTGTACATGTTTTTTTGTAGTGAGAGCTTAGTGTCACTGTGGTGTTTCATATGTAGTATGCAGTGAGCTGTTAAACCACCATAGAACTCTTAGAGAATGAAAAAATTTAAAAAACAAGGGTAGAATTACAGTTTTTGGTTGGCTGTGCTGGTCATCAGAAATGTACAGTAGAGTCTTGTTTTAAAGCTTTGATAATAAGCAGAGTAGCACCAAAGGGCAGTAATAGCCTTAGTTCAGTTTAAAGTCTCCACAACAGCCACCTTGGGGACAGAAGAAAGTAGCCGTAGTACAGAGGTTTAACCCTTCAAGCCCCAGTATCCACATACAAATTCTCCAAACTGATCTCCATACATTTCCTTAAAGAATGAGTTGAGAGAATTTGATAAAAGATCAAGGCATTTTTACTTGGGTGATCATTTTATTAATAATTCTCATAACTTATCTGTTGACAATGTATGGACATTGTTAGGAGAATATTGATCTTGGTCACTATTGGGATTTAAAGGGTTAAACAAATGAATGTATGGACTGTCCACAAAAAAGTGGCGGTTATGGAGAGGTGGTCGTTATTGGAGGTTCGACTGTATGTGCTAGTCTGTACTGAGCAAGAAATAAAAATAAATAGCTATTAAATGCTAAGTGGTACTGTACTTTTGCTTGCATTTTTGGGCAGTGGAAACATCTTTCTCATACTTCCACAACTTTTGTACTCTTTACAGCTTTTGAAGTTCCAGGACTTTCTAAAACTTTTTCTATGTCTATTTTCACTTTTCCATGACCTTAAGTGTAGCTGTCACTTTTGAAAATTTTCAAAACTATACTTGTTTTAGGATATTTTTAGGTAAGAAAATTCAACAGACACAATGGTGTAGCTTGCCAAAATGCAGACCTTCAAGCTGTTTTGTAACTGATCTTCAATATATTTTGTCATTTTGTCCTTGCTTTGAAATCTGCATTGATTAACTTTCCATGTCTTGCCATAACTGATACCGGTAATTCAATTCCAAGACTATCCAGAACTCGAAAATGAAATTCTTAAGACAAAATTTAATTGTTCCTGTTGCATGTTTATACAATAATTGTGGAAGGTTCAACTGTAAATTGGTGGTGGGAATGAACTGTTTGTACAATATTATTATTCACACCCTTTTCAACCTAGAGTAAAAATATCTTATTTGGATGCATCATAGTTAGTAAAGGAGACTGGTTATGAAAGGAAATATTTTGGCTGAATCACAGAGCCTGCATAAGTTAATTGTGTGCAGAGCACGACTGCTCCAAGGTCATGTGACAGTGACTGCTAAATGCATCCAGGCAAAATACTTCAGGACCCTTCAGAACAAAAACTGGGACCATGGGACCATGGAATAAACTTTTTTACTTCAACACTACTACTAATACTAAAAACATTCAATATTTTGTTTGTGTGCAATCTACTCCTGTTATGCTGTTTACAACCCACTTCAATTTCACAAGATGCTTTCAGCTTGCTATCTCAGCAGGGACGCCATAAATTTTTCTAAGTTCCTGTAAAATCTCAACATTCTTTGTCACTTTGCCTTTGTTTCCACTGTCATCTTCCAAATTAACCTCTTCCAGTCTTTTAATAAGTTCTGAAGTGATCTTTCTTTCCTCCTCTCCAAGGAATTTCAGAGAAAGATCAAACCTGTTTGTTTTTGACAATTGCAAGAGAATATCACAAACTGCCTTTGCATCATTAACGTTTAAATAGTTTAGCAAACTTGAGAGAAACTCTCCCAAAAATCCCATGCTTATCTCTGCCTTAAAAATTCTCCCAAGTTCCTGGCCACCAATTTTCAACAAGAGTTCATATTTTTCCTTCTCTGTCTTGCACTGACGCCTCCATACTTTTGAAAATTCATGAGCACTTTGAGGTGTTTTCATAGTAGTAGGCAGAGATACATCAGAATGAACAGGTGTTGTCTGTGAATTTCCTTGAGCATGTGGATTCCAGGGTTGTTTACGGGTCTGTTCCCCTGTAAAAGCAAAAACAAACTCTTATAAAACTCCCTACTGAACCCTCTTTAAGGATTTCAACAAGTCTTAATAATTATAATATTAAGTGGTTTACCTTTGTGGCAGATGTGTAAAGGGGGGGCCTGTTCACGTATGAGACCTCACTAAAAGGTCGTTCGGCCCTAAATTACCATCAAAACTTAGATTTATAAGATTCTTTATTCTAAACATAGTGGTGGCGAATTTCATTAAATAAGTTTTAGCCAACCTGTTATATCTTTTCGCTCCAAAGGCTTCAAATGTGCAGCACTGACAATATCCCGAAACTCCTCGTAACTCCCAACACGCTGCTCGACAGCACGGAATTTTGCACTATTTTCGCGATCATACTTCGCATCCGTTTCAACAGCTAAAGCTAGCTCCCTTTCTAGTCTCCGAAAATCAATTCCTTCGTCTTCGTTCATAGCTTTTAACCCCAGAAAACAACACAGCAACAGCTGTATCGAATCTGTAAACGAAAACTCGAACGATTGTTTCTACCAGGCTGAATGAGAGAGCACTGGGGCTTAATTTGCGGGATCGTTACCAGTTTCCTTGTTTCTTGCCCCAGTCGGCAAAACGATAAAGTTACTGGGTATCAATGTGTAATGTAGTGTGAAATTATTAATTTGCTGTTTTAAATAAACTGATTAATTGATTTATTGAATAATTATCATATAATTTCTTTTTTAAATACGAGAAAGAAGTAAAAAAAAAAAAAACGTTTAGGTTGGTGCAGAAAGAATGTTGAAGAAATAATTTTCTGAAAACTGTGACCCCTTCCAGACAAAAATACATGACAATACTTAGCATTGACAGTCCTTGATAGGTTAATAATCTCCAGAAAGCCGTAAAAAAAAAAAAAAAAAAAAAACAATAGAGTGTTTTCACTCACGTGGCCAGCATCTATGCAAATGTTTTGGAACAAAAGAAATTATTTGCATAAGAAAAGAGTTCATCTCCCACAGGACTGCTTTGGGACACCAACATGGCCGCCGTTTCATTGTTTTGGGACACCGATATGGCCGACGTGACGTCATGTGAAAACACTTTATAAGCCCCACAGACTAGAGCTAATTCGTAGGCGGCGCTCTTTCGAGTAACTACCTAGACAGAAGAGGACGGTACGTGATCTGTCTTTTCATGGACCCTTTAGAAGTGTCAGTTCTAATCAAGAGCATTCCTATTCACCAATAAAACAAATGGTCACTTTGATTGAACAGGGAGATTATTCCGGAACCAATCTTTCACAATATTGACGGGGGGTACAATTAATTTTCTTTTCTCGAGCAATCGAGATTTAGTCAATTAATTGAAGTGACTAGCTCTTGTTTGACGTCTGCTTAACGAACGACCACACAGAAAGTGATATGTGCTTGTTGAGCAAATAATTGGTAAGCAATGCCCCCCAAAAATCTATGAAAATAGAGCAACTCTTTGATTATCAGACGATAAATACCTCTGAAAATGAAGACAGCTGCGAAAAGACTTTTAAAGTGAACAATCATGCTAATAGGATGCCAAGTATCGTTGATTATTATCATTCGCCTAAACTATGTGTAATTTGCAATTTGGACATTTACTAAGTCCTTCATGAATAAAATGTGACTTGTATTTCGCCACTGAGTAGAAGCGTATAATTAGAGGAACAATACATTTCTATCATCAGCAGCTCTAAGTTTACATATACGTTTATTAATTTGACTCAAATCCGTTGTCTGGTACGGCTTATAACAAACCGTTATCCTTCTAAAAAAATATGCTTGTGTCATTCCTACCTAGGTTTGGCCTGGGAAAACGAATCTTCAAGGGACGACTGAAATCATTCTAAAAACTACACTGTTACGCATGGTTATAGCTCCTTCCATTCCCGATGAATAGGTTGTTTAAAAGGCTTAGGTGAATGCTAAACTAATTAGCAAGAACTTCCTTTTGTAGTTAATTCTGAGTTTATCATGAGCATTGAGCGCGACCATATCAAAGTTAAAAGAGTGAGCCTAAACCTTCATTCAAGGAGCTTCAGTGAAAATAATGAAAGCACGTCTTCTTTAGTATCGTCTGTTCTTCCGCGGGGAAGAAGCATTAGCGACTCTATGTTCTCTGTGGTGCGGATCAAGACTGACGAAAGCGAAGCAAGCGAATTCGGGGATAAAGATCACTTGGAGACTGGAAATGAAAATAACCATGGCTTTCCGAGTCTCAAGACGTCATCTTTTTACTCTACGTTAGATACATATCAAGAAGAAATTCCTAGAGAAGATCTCTCAGAGAAAACTAATAGGGACTTAGACGTTTGGAGATTTCGAAGCGGGAGTGACTCTTTGGTATTTTCTTCCCTCACTGATCAATCAGACTCACAGCTTTTAAAGGCGACAGGGCACCCACTATTTTCATTTTTAAGAGAACAATCATCAGAAGCGCTTAAATGCAACAGCCACGAGGAAAATAATAGTCAAGAATCCTCGGTTTGGAAACGCCGTTCTCGAACAGTATCCTTTTCTAGTCACTCTCTCTTGTGTTCGGCGATATCACAAGACGATGTTGAGGAGCTAAGCAACTTGATTGACCGTGAAAAACTGGACCTCAATCTCCCGGATGAATTTGGAAACACTTTGCTTCACCGCGCAGCAATGGATGGAAGCTACCGCTGCCTCAATTTTCTTCTCTCGCGCGGCGCTGAAGTCGACGTCACTGATAATAGAGGCTGGACTCCGCTTCACGATACGGTGTTTCATGGGCATACCCGCTGTGCCGTTTTTCTTATTATCTCAGGCGCTGACGTAGAGGCCGAGACAAGTGATTTTCTCAAACCAATTGAAATGGCCGAAGACGATGAGATGATTTTAGTGATCGGAAGGGCAATGTCAATGAATAGTGGTGAAAAGTCCAAAAATTGTAATTACGATAAAGAAACGTTAGTTTAATGGTGACTCAGTTTAGAACGAATCTCAAAAACTTCCTGTACACTAATCCTGAATTTCGCTAACTTCCGCAAACGTATTAAACTTTTGAAATGACGAAAGTTTTTAACTGGAACAAGAGAGTTAACATTTCTTTTTCCTTTTTTAATTTCTGTATAAAATCTTATAAAGTCAAATAACAAATGAACAAAAACAAAAATGATTCTAGAAATAACACGTGACTTATACTCGCAAAATAAAGACATGGACATAACTACAAGAGCTAATGACCTGGTGACTAGAATCAGGAGCCCATCAATTTGATGGGCTCATGCTAGGATCAAATTTCTCCTTTTATTAATAGACCATCTCCGTGTTCCAAAAACCCTCACTTTCAAAATGAGGTTAAGTGCAAAACTTTTCATGTGAAAATGAATTTTATTTGCATGAGAATAGAAAATGATTTTCATATCAATGGGTGTGCACTTAGTCTCGCTTGAAACAGAGGCTTGGACCAACTTGGGAATTGCCTAAGATTAACTTTACTGCACTGAGTTATATCCTATCTACTTTGCTATCACAGACAGAATACAACGTATATGTAGAAAAAAAATGTGGCAATTTTCCTCTCTTTCAGCAAGCCAGTCTGAATGGCGTGGTAACTAGAAGAATAAAATCGGAAGTCAGCATGTAAAGGCGTACTTTTACGTTCATTCCATTTTAGTCCATTTATCCTCTCACCTCGCCCATTGATCCCAACCAATGACGACGGACCCAGATTACCAGGAACCTCTGGATAAACATCCAGTCAGATAGACCATGAAAATGGGGTTTAAGCACCTGCTATTTTGAAAAATGTATGGTTTCTTTTTCGTCCCTATCTAATCTGTGTGTAAGGTTGGTGGAGAGCAAGGCCAGCAACGGCAGGGCATAAATTGAATTTAATGTATGTATTTTGTAGGACACAGTTTTCTTTGCCTATGCCTGTCACTCTAATGGGCGGAGCCAGCCTTTTGATGGGATAGCAGCTCAGAGAAGCCCTTTGCTGATCTCTTAAACTTTCCGATAGTGAATAGACGGTCTTGGAAAAATAATGTACGGACCAGGAACTCTTTATAAAGAGTTTTGCCGATGGTAGAAAGGAAATGTTACTTACAGCAAAGAAAATTGATGTTTTTGAAAAGGAAGAAAGGAATTCAGTTTCTATAGGGATTCATTAGAGATAAGTTATGAATGTCCGTTCAATTGTTTAGCTTTTAAAGGCGGTAAGGTTCAAAGAGAGAAGGAACCAAAGGCTGGACTCTTTTCAAAAGCAGCGTCGGCTTGTTAAAACAAGAGCTAACAATAGATTAGCGAGTGTAAGAACAAAAGTCACCTTTTAAAAAGTTTACAATGATTTTGCATTTACTAAGGTTGAGAGACTTAAAAACGCATGCAATTTTCTCATGATCTTGGGAAAGATATGATAGGCTTTTTTCATCCGCTACGGATATAAATCTTACGTTAGTTTTGAATGAGACCAGGAAAAATCTTTAGGAAAGGCTTTTTGTTGCTGAACAAAAAAACAACAAATGAAACAGAGACGTAATCAATTTATTTACCTAAATTCGCACATACTTACATTAAATGTCTTTAAGAAAATGAAACACAATCAAAGAGGATGATGTTTTTGGTAGTTACACAAATGAAAAGTACAAACGTTCCGTGATCAAAGGCCTTTTCACATAAATCACAAACGTCTTAAGTCATCAGGAAACTTTTACAGTGAATAAGCGATTAAAGTTAACCCAAGGGATTTACGTCAGTACCATAACAATGTAGTCACAGGAACCGAAATTCTGTAGGTATTTGTTTGCGAAACAAAATCGTCTCTAGCTGTACAGTTATATAACATGTCCTCGACAGGAGATTTGTCACACCTGCTCAATTTTGCTTAGGAAACGGCAGCGCTGATAGTTCAAGTTGCCCTTGGCGTACCGGTCGTGACGACATTGCCGGACTTAAGCTTGTTGTCGTCATAGGAAGATCATTGCAAAGAAAACCAAGGTGCTAACTACGGGCATTGATATCAATTGTTTGAAGATGTTTGCTCTGCACCGAGCATGCGAAGAAGGCAATTTAATTTTAGTGTCAATATTGCTGGAGAAGGGAGTGAATGTGAACGCTAAAGATAAACAAGGTAGAACACCATTACATATTGCGTCGAAAATAGGGGATAAACTATTAGCGGAGCTCCTGTTTCAGCGAGGTGCGGACATTTGTTGCAAGTCAGCGCGCGGTAAAATTCCTTTAGACTGTAGTCATGATGAGGAAATGACTTTACTCCTTGTACAAATGATGGCACGCACGGGAAAAGCTCAACTTGCAAAAGAACGTTTACAGTTTGAAGAGTTAACGGAAAAGGCCAGACAAAAAGTCGCCAAACAATTAGACATAAAATCAAGTCGGAAAAAGTCCATTCCATTCTCTCAGTTATTAGGCAAGCGACCCATTGCTAATCTTTTGGGATTTAGAGAGCCTGATTCAAGGCTATCAAGCCTATCCAACGTGTCCGACTGTAGCAGGTTCAGCGAAGCCGAATCGGGCTTTTGCGAGATGGACAAGTCTCCTGATAGTATTTCAATGGAGTCTGTGCAAACAGACGAGTCCATTTCAAGTGGATTCATGTCAGTCGATGATGAGTCAACGACGCATCTTACCAGGCGTGCAACAACGGCGCTTACCAAACAAGAGTTTGCTGCCTTAAAACGCTCTCCTTTCATGCCGCGAAGTCGCGCCATCTCGGAACCACCTCCAAAGAGGACAGTCAAACGCTCGTCAACATGGAATATTACGCGAACGCAAACAGGCACGTTTCCGCGTTCCGTTTTAAGAAACCGCATCTACAAGAGCGTGACGTTTCCAGCTGATATTCTGCTAGACATCGCAATAAAAAACGACGACTTCGTTGAGACGTGTCATCTGATAAAATCACGAAAAGTTGACTTTAATCGAGTCGGGTGTAACGGCCTGACTCCTCTCCATCGCGCTGCCATCGAGGGAAGCTATGAATGTCTTCAGTTACTGATCGATCTCGGAGCAAACGTGAATGTCAAGGACGAATACGGATGGACACCTTTGCATGACGCCGTGTTTCACGACCATGTCAGCTGTGCAGTAGTCTTAATAAACGCTGGAGCGGCTTTGGAAGCCGAAACGGACGATTTTTGGACGGTACTTGAAATGGCGGACAGTGATAAAATGATCTTTACGATTGGAAGAGCGTTAGTTGTTAAAAACAGCGATGGGGACAAACGTGAACTAATGTACTGGGAAGATCAAGTATTTGAACCTGTCTTTGATCCTTACAGAGAAACATGTGTATAAAATGAATATAGCTTAACTTTATTATGATAGTAGGACGTTTATTTATCTATTTAGAGTTATTTAAGACAAGTTTCATTTTTATTTACTCCAAGATTCTTCTTAAATAGTGCAATAACATTTGAAAACTGTACAGCAAAATTTACTCATTAGAAATAAAAAGAAATGGTCATGGAACGAACGTCTTTTAGTGTGAATTCTAAACATTTTCAGATGGCCAGGAAGAAGATACTTCAACGACAAAAGACGACGAGGTCTATTCTAAGTGAACTGTGATTTAATTCAATTGACTGATGACGCGACAGAAGTTTTCCAAACAGGTTGTTTCCTTAAACAGCCTCTTAGCAATGTTTGCTAACTCTCTTGTAAGTGTGGAATGGATATTATCACATACTTGAGAAAGTTATTGGCAAACTTCGAATTTTCAATAGCGTGTGAATTCCAAACAAAGTTCGCCCACTCATCTGTACGCATCATTTACTACGAAAGATAAATTGCGGTATTGTCAAAGGCGCAAATCAATTTCCAGATTTTAAACTTACTGTCCCTGAAGAAAGCTAAAAGAAACTTTTACTACTAGCAGCAACAGAAGAACTGCTACTACTTCTACTGGCACGTGTACGATCACGTGGATGCTCACGTTTTAGCTATTGGGGCGCCCCCAAAATCATTTGCATTTGGTTTTGGACTAAAAGAACCAAAACCAATTGCGTAAAAATGCACATGAAATTGCACTATGAAATTTTTATATTATTAGCGCTATCTGTTTATAATAGGCTGCGAAAGATTATTTTAACCGTCTTTCGAGAAAATGCAGAATGTCTAGTAATTGTGAACTGGCACTCATTAGAGCTAGAAGTCCAGCAACGTGCCAAGACAGAAAAAACGAGGACGCTCATTAATGCTAGTGTTTTTATTGTTAACTAGTGCCCTAACAATAGCTACTGTCTCTTCATCCATTAGCCATTAAGAAATAAAAGGTTCTTGAATAACCTTTACTACCAGCAATCGTAGAATAGCGTGGGATTTTCAAGCGAAGCAAATTGTAAGTCGCGTTTATAACGATTACAAAATGGCCGAGAGACTGAAATGTCACACGAGTATCCGTTAAGATAGAATTAAGGAGTTAATGTAGGAATTACCAGTTTCAGTTGCCGCTCGAACCAATATCGATTGCAGCCCGTTTGTTTCTGGCAACCCTAGTCTTTGCTGGCGTAACTTTGTAATGTTAAGCGAATGAAAACAACCATTAGTTGTAATTAGCTTCCATTTTTATACCCTCATAGTGACAGCTGAAAACGACAAAAACGTTCAGCAGAGTAATTTACAACGCGGAGCCATCAAGACTTTTGTAGGCAAAATCAAAGCTCTCTTTGTAGTCAGAATTGAACGTTCTTTAAATAAAAAAAGAATTCCTTAATAGACAATCATTTTTATTTGCAATTCGTTCTGTTTGCAATTAAGTGTATTTCAAACAGTAGCAAGAGTTTGGCAAGGCAATATTTTCCAGAGCGTAGAGAGCAGGGTTAAGCCCCTTTGATTTACAATAAGTCACAACGCCCACACTGACGCCCACAAAAAAAGACTGGAAACTTAGTTTGATACAACATGTATACGTTATTCTATCAGTAGCAGAATTCATCTTCTGTAACAGAATCGAAGTACCCGGGAATTAAGAACTCTTTTCGGAAATCAACATTAATTCTTTTGAAGATATAGACATTTTGAAAGCAAAAAATAAAGCCCCTTCATCCGCGAACTGTTTAAAGGAACCGGAAACTTTACGGAAAGCGTTCCTCTTTGTCTTTTGTAGTGAAGTCGATCAAGCCTTTCTGTCATTGACGGCACGTAATTTCGTTACGTTATTCTGTCAAACAAATACATCCATTCAGGAAAAGGAGAAAAACAAACCCAGGAATGACTTCTCATATCACACAACAACAGCGTCTGTCAAACAAAACCAAATGGAAGGAAGGCACTGCACAGGTCGACTATCTGACGAAACTGTTCATATCCCTGATTAACAAAAAATGTTTCGTTTATCAAAATAAAGGAGAAAACTTTAAAAGGCGGTGTACTTTTAATCAGTCCAATCAGCGCAAAACCGGAAACGGACTGCGCAATACAAAGCAAAGCAATACAAAGCAAGAGACACTGATTTACAGCCCACTCTGAAGCCTGACGCACTAAAACAGATTGCAAGAACAAAGAAGAAAATGAGCGTTTGTCTATAACCTACTCAATGGATGCAGTGAATATGAAAATTTCAGCACAGAGCACACCAGTAAAAA